ATAACGTAGTTTAGCTTTCGTACATGCTTTAAGATTCTGACTTCCCACCGGCAAATAACTGTCACGTTTCACCCACCTACAAAATTTGTGAGTTTTGTTTAATGTAAAATAACCGAGAGGAATTCACAAAAATACTCTTGGAAAATTTCAAAAAAAAAAAAAAAATCCAGATTTTTTGCAAAAAAACTAAAAATCCCGCAATTTTAACACAATCACATGATACATAACAATTAAAAATGATTTTTTATTTCAGGAAAGCAAAAATTCTGGCCAAAAAAGGAGAAAATTCTATGTGAAAATGACCGTTATATACCAAAAACAACGAAACTACCTGCCTGCACAAATAATGAGAAAATCTCATATTAGTGATTTTAATTACTGAAATACTCCGATACGTCGAGCGCAGCTATTCCAAACTCTTTGAAACTTAGTAACATAATCCTAGATAGTACCCAACACTCGATCGAATATGTGCAACAAATGCTACGTGTACTATCAAAATTCCAATTTGATGAAGCTGCTTACTTAAAAGCATCAAGATGAACGGCATTTGGACTTCTGTATTCGTCGGCTGGATTTTTCGAAAAACCAATTTCCTTGAGCATAATGTACCCGTATACTGCAGCTCTTGCTTCCAAAAAAGGCCTAAACAACCACTGGTTAAGCTAAACATAACCAGAAAAGTAATAAGATTTACACTTAAAAGGGAGTTACAAACCAATCGAATGAATCGCCGTTGTAAGTAACGAAAATGGAAGGACGCAATCGAAGAATATGATCAAAGAAATATTTGATAACAGCTTCCTCGGTGGGCAAATTTATCACTCGGAACATGCCCTGAAATGAGTTTATGGTAACAAGCCATGAGTTTATGGTAACGCCGTCAAAAGCAATTCTGGAGCTGCTCGGCCTGTGCCTCATCATTTTTCTTAGGTAAACGAATAGACAAGCTTTAAAATAAGTTGCAGGCGGAATGAGATGTATTAAAGTCTTACTACTTTCTTACCTGATTTAAAATTTAATAAAATTACCAAAATAGCCAGCAGCGAGTTTGAGCCGAATGTAATTTGCATGTACTAAAGAAAATGTTGAGTGGTACCCACGCAAAAGCCGACACGATTTGAGCTTATCAAAACAAACTGTTGAATGGTACTAACCCACGTGGCGTTGTGCAAATGCTGGGATGGAAGACAAAAAGTCACATAAGCTGACAGGTACATGTTAGACTACGAGGATTTGGAAAGCTTAGAACTGAACAAAATGATGTAATAATAATAATGACAACAACAACAATAATAATAATGATAATAGCAACAACAGCAATAATGATAAAAACAATAATAATAATAACAGTAATAATAATAGTAACAATAATAATACAAGCTAGCTCGCGAAAAGCAAAAAAGGAACAAGTGCTAGTTATTCATGACAGTAAAAGTTCCACTCTTTTCGTTTTTGAGACAAACCTTATATTCCGGCTTTGGTGTGTACTCGAAATTATCAATGTCTGCGGAAACAATGTGCCGATTGATGATCAGGAAGCCAATTCCATTCACCATATATGAGATCATCATAATTTCATCGAACGAGCTATCCGGGAACTTCAACGGCATTTTCGTCACTTCAATATCATAAGCCAGAATAACCGGTTCCGGTGGATCAATGAGTGTTGGATGCCGTTTGATCGCCGGTTTTCGGTCCAAATCTCGGCCAGTTACGGAGTACCAGACACCAACAAATATTTCCAAATCAATGCATACTCGCATGTGATACAGCAAATCGTGCTCCCTGAAAAAAAAAATGCGTTGAACTTCATTTTTCAACAAAAAGTTCTAATGTTTTCATTGTCCTCGTCAGAAAGATAGCTCATCGTGATCAAGAAGTGGCAACTTTTGACATCAGATGACGATGCTCATCACATGATAAGGATATTTCGGAGACATTTAAACCTCGTCGATTGTGTTTATCAGGAGAAGCCTTGTTGACCCAGAACTCTTTTTAAGGAATGAAAGAAATGCCAGAATCGCCAGCAGACTGACCACCAGACAATGCAGCATTGGTCACTCCAACTGGAAAAATTGTCAGCTGCACAGTTGGAGGGCCAGACCACCAACTGCAGCTAGTCAAACCATTCCAATTCTGAGGGTTCAGGGACATTTCTTTCTTTACAGCATATTTTCATGCTGGTACGCATGAAAAGACCAGATTTTTAGCAAACAGAGCACAAAAACGATAAAAAGGGAAACTAATTAAAAAGGGCTAAAAAACTTAAAAAAAACACAGAAAATATTCATTTTTACTGCTTTCAGGGACGCTGATTCAAAGCGCTTAAGATCACCTCAAATCGATGATTTTTTCCATTATTCCGCCTTCATCGGTCAGCACTTCTTCAGCGCCAAAATGCCTGAAAAAACAGCTCAAGTTCGACTAAAAATAAATAAAAAAGCATAGATTGCCTTCAGATATACAGCAAAAGTAGAACCATTCCTCAAATCCCTTTCCATATTAACTAAATTTCCCAAGGAAAAGCAGATAAATTTCCAAAATGGAGAAAAAACTCAATTTTGGTTACAGAGATCACGAAGAACGTTAGAAGCCGTATTTTATTAATA